CCCAATAGTGTATTTTTGATGTTGCTTCAATTGCTCGGGGTGTCCTCTTCATAAAATGTTCACCCAGGCCGATTTCTTCAAGTGTTTTCCCTACGCTTTCTTCTAGAATTTTTATGGTTTCATGTCTTAAGTTTAAGTCTTTAATCCAGTGAGAGTCGTTACACTTTTTTTTAATGCTCTTTACTGACAAAGCCTAGGGATAGATTCACCAGCAGTGATGGGATACCAGAGTTTTGGGTATATATCTATATTTGGGTAATTGCCTAAGTTTGAAAATATAAATTTGTATTTAAGCTAAAATGTATTTGGGGACATTATCCTCAAATCCATAGTTTTCAGCAAGGTTGGCTTATTTTTAGAAATGTTTAGGAAAACAGTATTGATGGGTGAGGTGAAAACCGTCATTCAGATTCTTAAATGATTAGATCAAGGAATCATAAATTAATGTTTCTTTAAAAATCTCACATAAAAAAGAATCAGCAAGTTAAAATTCTCCTGAGTTTATTTCAGAAATTCTCTTTGTCCTGATGTATTTTTTTCTCTCTTTTGTTTTCTAAGTTGGGAAGATAGCACTACCGTTAAGAGAGTTACTAAATGAATTTCATTTTGGTCATAAAAATTATAACATTATCTAGGCTTCTTCCTTACAGAACCACCTGCTGGTTTAAACAGGGAAAATAACCAAGTTCATATTCTTTGAATTGTAATAAAAATGTCAATATTTTTACTTTATGTTTTATCTATTTGTCTATAATACAACTTAATTCCTAAATGTTAGTGCTAAAGGTACCTGCAGAGAATATCACTCACATATTTCAATTCAAAATCTTTCTCTGAATATATATTCCATCATTTCTAGAAGCAAATAATTTAACATATTATGAATAAATATGTTCAAATATCAGCAGTAAGAGCAATAGGTCAATTTGTTTTTTTCCATTCAGATAAATTATTCTGTGTTATTGCTTAAAATGTCTTTTTACTTACCAGGTACCTTTAATGTGGTTCCCTGTGAGATATGATAATAGTATGTATGCACTCTTTGCCCTAGATTTGTTGTATTTGGCCCAAGAAATAATTTTATTAAAAATTATTAAAGATTAGGGCTGGGTGTGATGTCTCACACCTGTAATCCCACCCAGCACTTGGGAGGCTTAGGTAGGTGGATTGCCTGAACTCACAGGTTGGAGACCAGCCTGAGCCAGAGTGAGACCTAATCTCTAAAAATAGCATTGTGGTGAGTGCCTGCAGTCCAGCTCCTTGGGAGGCTGAAGCAAGAGAATTACTTGAGTCTGAGTTAGAGGTTGCTGTTAGCACTCTACCAAGGGTGACAAAACGAGACTCTGTCTCAATTGAAAAGATAAATAAATAAAAATTAAGGATTAAAATTTTTAGTTTATATTTTGAAATATGTAAACTTGGTAATCTTCAACTTACACTCTTACATGGCAATAGTCTGTTGGAGCTCTTATATGGCAACAGTCTATTGAAGCTGGGTCATTTTGAGATGGGACGTACTTACACAACTTTATGACAGTTGCCGCTAACTCTCTGAGTCCATTTACATTGCCGTCTTTGTCTCTTTGGCCAATTGCATTGCAGGCCTGGATTAATATTTAGGTGTATCTTTATAATTTAATGTATTGGTGACATTTAGTAAAGCAGTATACTCACATTTTAACTATTTTTAAAACCACGTATTACCATGAATAAAAGATCATGTAATGCTAATAGTATCTTTTCAGAAATAAAAAGATAGAGCCACTTATATGCTTATACGGGTAATGTGAGTCTCAGTTCCATCAGTATGGGGAATGATTTGAAGTCATATACACATGAATTGGGTTGGATAAGTGATTTTTGTCCCAATCAGGCTCAGCATTCCTCTTTTATCTATTAAGCATTTGACACTCTTTCTAATTCTGGAATGAAATTTATAGATAATGTAGCCTACATATATACATAATTTTAAAAAATTTAATTCTCTAGTTATCATTCAAGGAAGAAATAAAAGGAACAGAACATACAATAAAATATACATTGTTAGAGGTACGCTCAGATTCCACTTATAAAGTTTTGATTTATGAGAAATAAGACTAGAAGTCATTTTATGTTAGAAGTACAGAGGAATAAACAAGAAGATAGCTAATTACTGGAATAGAAAATAACCGGACACATTTTGTATTACAAAAGGAAACAGAAATCACGTTCACTGAAATTGGGGTAACACAACCAGAAAAAACTATTACATCTGGTAGAGGTGTGATCAAGCCTGGAGTTTGCACACATGAGGTCATATATGTCTTAGAGGACATTTTACAAGACATGAGGTGATTCTTTGCTGTCAAAGACATTTAACAGCCTTAACCTGTTTAATTACTGTTTATTTATTACAAAAAGCCCATGGTATTCCCCCAATCTGTGCCAACATTTGGTACCGCCTCCATTGAAACCACTGTAGTAATTCTGTGATACTAGAAGAATGCAAAACAACTAGAGTGACCTGCACATAGTTAAATTTTTTTTATTTATATTTATTTATTAATTTGAGGGTACAGATTTTGAGGTTGTAGATAACATGAGTGGAAAGTTTTAAAAACATAATCCTGTAAAGTTCAGAATAGTTATTTTAGACTTGGTTCTTCATGGACCATATTTATTGAAACTCTTAATTTATATTGGATATAAAAATGGCATTATCTATTTTTATTCACCCTATGGCCTATGGTAGGAGTAAATTTAATAAATGCCAAAAAAAGGTATTTCAAGGAATAAAAATCTATGCAGGGGGAACCATGCATTCCAATCTTATGATAAGAATTTACAAAACTGTAGACTTTTAAGGAAAACAATGTTACTCATTCATCCTGGTGAAAAAATGACTTGTAGAAAATCAACTTACGTTGATTAAAAGTAGAAAGGTAAAGCAGGCTTGTCTTGAAAATAAACTCAGAAAGTAAGGTGAGCTGTTACTTTGATCCGACCACCCTGGAGTTTGACTTGCAGCTCTCCCATGGTCAGTTAGCGTGGAATTGGGCGGCTTCTCTTTCGTGTCAAATGCTCAGTGTTCGCTAATAAAAAATTGAGAAACAGGTTAATGATAAATACCTGTTTTCTCTAGTTGCTGTGGTGAGTGAAAAAATATATTGAACTGCTCAGCCTCGTAGCTGACATATTGTAAAATCTTAACAAATGGTAAAAAAGAGGAGAAGGAACAGGGGGTAGAAAGGAGGGTGGAAGGAGAGAGGGAAGGAAGGTGGGGAAGGGAGACAGAGAGAGAAAGAATGAAAAGCAGCGGAAAAAGGCAGGAGAAGAAGGCGTTAGAGAAAAATCTGAGTAACTACATCTAGGTTACAGCATAGTATTTTCTGAAACAAATGTTATTTTATTGATTTATTATTGAATTATTTTTATAGACTATTTTCAAAATCAAAGGAAGGTAAAATTTTTCTTAAGATGAATCATACTTCTTAGTTCAAATGACTTTTTTTCCCTCATTATAGCACTTAAAATGTGAATATTTGAAGTTATAATCATTATTACATCTGAAGCATAATTTACAAAGAATTTTCTAGGACAAATATATAAGTAAAATACAATGCATTCCTTATTCTTATTCTCATGCCAGCATGAAACATAAAGTGGGAAGCCTTTTCCTTTCACGTTAGGAAAGTACGGATATAGAGTCAGTTCGGGAGATCTAAGACATAGATGTACAGATATAGGTATGATCATGAATGTAATATGTACGTATGTGGAGAGAAAGAGGGGTCACTAATAAAGGGTATTAGAAATTAAAGGTGACTAATATAGGGTATTAGAAATAGGAAACATCTAGTCAATTAATGTTCTATCTCATTTAATATCCACTATCCTCAATACTATTATTAACTAGCTTATAATAGGACTGTATGATTTCATCAAAATAGCTGAGTTTTTTTAAACTTAAAAAAAGTGAAAAAGCAAAAAAAAATCATAATTAAATACAATTATAAATTTCAAAAACAAGTTTGTGCCCAAAATAAATTTAATGACAATGTGTCAATTAAAACTTTAGTATATAAAAGGGTTCAAGAAAGTTAACTGGCATGTTTAGTTTATAGTATAGCAGTACCATTGTTAAAAATAGAAATAGGCACTCATGTCTTCATTGTCTTATTTAGGCAATTGGAATAGGAACAACAGGCAAAGCTTAGTGTTCAGAGCTATCCATAGGAACAGACTCCTTTTGTGTTTGGTCATGTTTGACACTGTGTTCATATGCTCAGGGTAACAAAATGCCAAATAAGCGTGTTTATGCTGTATCATGATGAGTCCCTGGCGAGAAAGCGTTTATGTCACTGACTGCAATGTTCATAGACAATGAAAGAGAGCTTATAGATTTGGGGATAAAGTGACTTCAGTGGAATTTTGAAAATATATTTCTTTTTCTTTATCTTGAATTTTATTCTGGATCACCAAACATAATGTCAGGGTAGACATAATGTTCTTTTGTATGGCTCTGAATTTGGTTAGGAAAGTTCCTGATTTTAAAGTACTGTAGATTTCAAGTGGCAGTAAGATGAAACTTCCAAGATGTGCATGGAAGTCGGTTGGTGGAATTCTGTCACCTTGTTTTATGTGGGTCCTGAATCTCTAAAATTAACTATATAAAATGTCTGTGGTCCACTGAGCTTGATGCCAACATTCCAGGATTCATTTCATTCCTGGCACCCTAGCAGTGTTCTCCGTGAAGGTGTGGACTGACCCCATTCTGGTGTGCTTGCCCTGAATTTTTGAGTCTTTCTCACTAAAGCCATGATATTTTATTATATGACCTGAGCTGTTCTATACACTGCCTTTCAGCAAAGAACAAATGTGGAAAGCTCATTCTCCTATTGCAGAGCTGGTATTTCTCCTCATACAAAAGTCTTTGCACATTAAGAAGTGAGGACAACAAGAATTTTCCTACTTCATTTTTGGCGTGGTAGTCATCAAAGGCATAGTTATTCATTCCATATAGTCTTACCTATAAATAGCAAGCTTGCCAGAACATTTAATTGAGACTAAGCTTTTGAAAGATATTCATGTGACATTGAAAAAATGCTAATCAATAGTTTATGTATGAATTATAGGGAAATACATTTATAGTGTTTCTCCAGTCTCAGCAATATCCAGTGTCTGAGCCTTATATAACACTGCATGTTAAACAAGTAGTACATTGTATTGATTACACTTCTTAGTTTGTAACAGTAATTTAATCAAGCAATTTTTTTAATATATGGATGGTTTATAATGAGAAGAATATGCTGATGAGCCAGATTCAGAAAGCTGGTACAAGGTGGTTCTAGAGATCAAGGTTGCTAGAATAGGAAGTCATTTCAGGGCTCTAATACTGCTATAAACAAATGCTAAGACATTCAGACAAATCTCCAGAGTACAGGCTATGTACCTACTACCTATTTTGTAGGGGATTGGGGAGAGCCTTGACTGAGAGCACTATTAGGACTACATACAGTTATCAATCACCATATCCTAGTGGTTAATCCCCATATAGAACAAAATTTTTTACACACTGGTAAAACAACAGATGTCAACAGTAAAAATAAAACTCATTTGATTGTTGGATAGATACATATTTATCTTACCTTACTACATTATTTATTTTTTATTTCAGTATATAATGTTTTGGTTACATGGTTTGCTTTTACATATTTTCACTCAAAGTAGTTAAGTTGACCCCTCACCCAGAAGGTGTGTGTTGTACCTGTGAGGTGTGAGTTTACTCATCCTCCCCCAAGGCCTCCCACCTACTTGTATTCTGTTGAGTTTTGCTTCTATATGAGCACGTAAGTATTGATCAACTAGTTCCAATTTCATGCAGACGGCATGTGGTATTTGATACATCACTGAGGAGAAGAGTGTCCAATTCCATCCAGTAATGTTTGTTATCTTGTATCTTGTCAAATTTGACTTCTGCAATTACAA